TGCTCGCGCAAACATCCCACCCACCCACCCGCAGCTTGGTTTGTAAACCCCATGCGGCGGCGATTGCGATGAGTGCCTGGCGCTGGCTGGTGCATCTCTGCGGCCGCGACAGCCCGCGCGTACGCGCGCAGCGGCCAGCTAAATGAGCGCGACCGACGCAGCCGCAGTGGCGCTGACCGCTGGGCACATCCCAGCGAGCTCCTCAGTGCGAGTCGGAGACTTGGGCGGGCGCGGTCTCATGGCAACGTCGACAAGGATAAACACGGTGATGATAGTAGCGATGCTGGTGGCGATGCTGACGGCGACGACGGAGCGGCCAGTGACGGCGCGGATGCTGACCACGCCGACGGCGATGACGGCGTCCTCGCGTCGGCGAAGAAGGTTTTGGAAAGAGTTGGACATGCGCGCGCGGCCGACCGCATGGTATTATTCGACACGGACCGTCCCCCCCCCAGCACGCGCGCAAGGGCGTGCGAATGATGTCGGTGTGCGGCGCGAGAGGCCCCCTTGTTGACAGAATTCCCCGAATATGTTGGAAGACCGATGGCTTCTGTCAAGGATTCATTAGAGCGCGAGCGCACGCTGATTTGAGAACTGATGTTGCGAAGCCATGTGTGTTCTCCAAATAGGCTTGCCCTATAAGAATGCCCGCTCAAACCCTACTCATTGTTCCGTTGCCCCGTAAGTTATTATGCCCCTTTTTTTCGATGGCTATGTTCATGCTTATGCCTATGCCGATGCCTCCCCTCGAACTCCTATGCCTGCGCCTATGCCTATGCGTGGTTGCTTGCTTGCTTGCGCGCTTGTTTGCACAGTTGCTTGCCTGCTGTGTTGCGGACTAAAAACATGGTTGATCCCTTTGATTCCTTGAATCAGAGTCGTCCATATATTTGAATCCAACGGTGGCTGATATATATATATATATATATATATATATATATATATATATATATGTTTGTTTGGACACCCTGTTCTGAAATCACCACGAAACCGAACGTCTTTGATGGATTTCGGCATTCGCGCGCGACGACGCGCGCTCGTGCATTCCGTCGTTCATATTTTTGCAAAGGATTCTCGCGACGGCACGAGCGCAAGGACGTTCGAACGATTTCGGCATGCGCGCGCGAAGCCCGTGCGGTAGCATGTATTTGCGTGGTGTGAGATATTTGGTGCAAGCTATGTGGTGCACGCTCTGTGGAACCCACGTGCTCATTCAGATGGTGCAAGCAATGTGGTGTAAGCTGTGTGGCGCAAGCTATGTGTTGTCCGATCTACGGCGTGCGAGCTACGCAGTGCAATGCACTCCGCGTGATGCAACCCATGTGATGCGATCCACGTGGTGCGATCGCAGTGCAATGCAGTACGATTACACTGCGACGTTGTGCAATGCAGAGCTTTTTAAGTGCTATGCGTCGACGACGAGGCGGAGGCGACGAGGCGGCGACGAGGCGGCGACGGGCGGCGACGAGCGGCGAGGGGGCGGCGACGGGGCGACCACAAGCCAGCTGGGGCGACACCCGAGGCCGCGCCGGGGCGGCGACGAGCGGCGACGGGGCGACGACGGGGCGACCCAGTAGTTCCTTGAACGAGTGGGAGCACCTGAGCGCAAGCACTTGGTTGGGGAACAGAGCGAAGCAATGCACTGCAACGCAAAGCCAGGCAAATCACTGCTAAGGAATGCGCATCGACATGAAGCAGCGCAAAGCACCGCAACGCAAGCAATGCAAAGCAATCCGTTGCGATGCAGATAGTGGCAGATCAAATGCCAGCTCACGCAAAGCAGTGCAAAGCAATGCAGTGCAAATCAATGCAGAGCCAGGCAACTCAATACAAAGCAATGTACAGCAATGTAGAGCAGTGCAAAACAACGCAACGCAAGCGATGCAAAACAATGTAGGGCAACGCAGCGCAATGCGACGCAATGAATAGGAGGGCAGAGCAATGCAAAGCGATGCAAACCAATGTCAGGCAATGCACAGCAGTGCAGGGCAATGCCAAATAGTGCTAAACACATCATAAGAAAGACAATGCATGCAATGCAATGCTAGCAATGCGTAACGATGCAAAGCGATGCAAGGCAATGCAAACCAATGCAGAGCAATGCAAAACACGGCATAGCAACGCAAAGCAGCACAACGCAACGCAACGCACGTAGCAGTGCTAAGCAGTGCGACGCAATGCAGTTCCAGACGACGGGCGGCGACGAGGCGGCGACAGGGCGGAGACGGCGACGACAGCCGCCAGACCAGCCCCCAGGCCCAGACGTTGGGCGGCGACGAGGCGGCGACGGGGCGGCGACGGCGACTGCGTGTCCGACCCCTACGCGCAGTTCGTTATCCCAGAAGAGAGAACCCCTAAGTGCAGGCATCGTCTTGCGGAAATAGTGAGAACGCAACACATCGATCAAAGCCGATCAGGGCAAATCTGTGACTCTTGCGTCTTTGGGCCCTCTTGAGGCCGTCTTGAGGCCAGCGTGTTCGAGCCCAACCTCCTACAGTCGGCGGGGGAAGGGGCTTACCCCCCCCCCCCAAGGTGCGGGCAAACCACGACGTCGTCGTCGACGACGACGACGACGAAGTGTCCGCCCGCCCGCGACTCGCCCACGACGTCGACGACGCGTCCCGCCCGCCCGCCCGACCGACTCGCCCACGACGACAACGACGACGCCGATGGCGACAGTGACGACGCCCTGCGCTGGCAAACGACGACGAGCTCGACGACGACCATGACGGCGATGAGGACGACGATGTCGTGTCCCGCCCGCCCGTCCGACCGTCCACGACGAGACGACTGCTTGATCCGCCCGCCCGACCGACTCGCCGGCTCAGAGCGACCACGACGACGACGACGTGTCCCGCACGCCCGCCCGACCGACTCGCCCACGACGCCGACGACGTTCGGGTATAGCCAGGACCCCGGGTAAGGGGACCTGGTTAGGGGAAGGGCCCTGGGGCCCCTCAATTGGCCAGATTCACTAAACCAGGTTTGCCGTAATTGGTGTTTTTCGGGTGACGGCAGTTCCGGTTAGCGGAACGGGGCGGGGGGAACGCCCCCCGGTATACATCACTAAACGAGGTTACATTAGACCCAGTTCTGCCCACGACGCCGACGACGTGCCCCGTCCGCTGGACCAGACCGACGGACTCGCCAGCCAACGACAGCGCGGCGGGGGGAGGGGGGGCGGTCGAAGCCCCCCCCTTCATTCGGGGGGGCTGGCTCCCGAGAGGAGGGGGAGGGGCGCTTCCCGAGCGGGGAGGCATAGACTTTAGGGGGCCACGTGTGAACCCTACCCCTACCCCCCACGATTTCTGAGGGGGAGGGTCGGGTTCACTTCGTTCGGGAGCTCCCGAGCGTAGTGAACCCCACCCTTCCCATCAGAAATCGTGTGGGGTAGGGGTAGGGTTCGCATGTGCCCCCCTAAGACTTTGCAGAAGTAAAACGTGCACGGCAGACGCCCTCTCTAATGTGCAATTCTCGGAATGTAGTATTGGAGCAGCGCGCCGTTGCCCGTTGTTGGCCGAGGAATTCCCTGGCGGTTTGTTTGTCACTGGCGCATTCTGGTGTTCACAGGAAGCAGGCCGTACTCGCATGCATAGTTGCTATGGTGCTCGCAGGCGTGCTTGTTGATACTGGTCGAACATGGAATGCGATTGCGCGTACTTGTGATATTACCGTGACGTTCGCAGGTTAAAGTAGTGCTCGCAAGATGCGGTGATCGCAGGCCTATCATGGTTCTTGTCTGGTTCAGCACGCTGCTGTCAATCTTACAGCAGCGTTGGTCTCATGTCCTGAGGTGCGCAGACCTGTAGTAAGCCGGCGGCCTTGCCAAGAGTTCCAAGACAATCAATAATGCAAGGCCAAGAATTCAAAGCCCGGATTCGAGATATTTAATGGTCACCACCGTAGAAAATGATTGATATGATGTACATTCGCGGTTAGTTAGTCGTCGTATTTTTGGTAGGCATTGTTGGTATTCTTGGCATTAGGGGGGTGGTGCACCGCCCCTCGGCTGCATTATTGTCTTAGTCGAAACTTATCGCGGGAACTAATTCTGTCGCCCAAGGGCGGTGCACCCCCCCCATATAATCACCAATACCAATCAAACCAAGCATCGAACAAGTTTGGTCTTGCGAGCGGGGAGTGGGCGGAGCTTGTGGAGTTCATTATTCTGACCCCGGGGGCGAAAACATTCTTGGTTTTGAACTCTTGGAACTCTTGGTGGGCCGCTGGCTTACTACAGGTCCGCTCCCATCCGCTCATGTTCGAATCGACGTGCTTCTCCTGTGCTTTAGAATGGCGTTCTCGCCCCAGCCTAGGCCCCAATTCTGTGTCCGAGCCCCCCCTCGTCGTTGTCGCCTCACTCCTTCCTCTCCTTCACCTTCCCCTGGTCCCTCTGCTCATCCCGCTCCTTCTGCTCCTGCAACTGCTGTTCCTCTTGCCCATTCGTCCTCATCCTCCGACTCCTGTTCATCCGCCACCTCGTCCTCCACCTCCTGCACCGTACGGATCCCCGTTCTGCCTGCGTATATCGCGATGTGGTCCTTCGGGGGGGTCCAGATCTCCTATGGCATCCAGGCATCCATCGGCGGATAGAGATCAATCAGCGCAGTGGGAACGGGTGCGGCAAGATGTCAGGTATGGCGCGTGCGTACAGTTTTTCCAATTAATCTTCTCTCTTCTCCCGCGGGTTTGGCAGGCGGTGGATGTGGACATTTGGGCCAGAGGGGTGGGGGGAAAATACCTCAACCCGACGGGAAGCTAATCGAGAAGCCGCGCAGTTCCCCCTGACCCCATTATCCTTCAACGGGTGGTCTATGAGGTACTGTGTTTCATGCATGTGCTTGCAAAGCATGTCTCAGCTTGGTGGCCTGCGTGGGGGATGCCAGCGAGTGCATGAACCTCGTGTCTCGCCGTCTTGGGGCCATTTTGTGCCCTGGGTGGCAGCGACCCAAATGACAGGGCCGTCTTCTGTCGAAAAGCGTTGGCCTCTCTGGTGTGAGGTGATGGAAGTACTGACGGACGGAAAGCTGATGCTGGACAATTGGCGCAGCGGTCCGTCACTGCGCAGCGTGAACGAGGCTCTGGCCGCAGGCGGGTGCGCGGGGCGCTGGATCGTCCAACGTCGTCTGGTCATTCTGCAGTACCGACCCTGACACGTCGATTAAGGAATTGGCCGTTTTTGGTTCGCGAGAGGGCGTCGCGGCCGTCAGGTTTGCGGGTCCAGGTCCGTCGGTTTCGGTCCCAGGCCGTTTTGACTAAGGGGAGGTTTACTAAAGGGAGGTTTGTCCACCGCCGAATGTTTCGTCGTCCCTTCCTCAAGTCCCAACATTCCGCTTACGACAGCTGGGCCATATCTAGGTGCACATGTGGCCTATCAGCGGCTTGCCACGAGGCCCACCAGCTGTCATGCCACGTTGCGGGACTCCGACACAGGTTCCTAGTTAGGCAGCCCCAGAGAGTGTGGACTATGACTGGCCACACCTGGACCGATGGGGCTCCCACCGCGTTGTCGACCTCTGAGCGAACAAGGGAGGGAAGATTGGCATTCGCAAACAGGTGTCTGTACGTTGGACCTTTTGGGGAGGTGGACGAGGAGGGCTTATCAAGTCGAGGATGAAGAGAGGGACTGCGTTTACTCAGGCGATCGCAAACATGGATCAAGGAGGCGTGGATTAGCGATGGGTCCTGTTTCCATGGGATGTCGCAGATTTCCGCCGCCGAACGAGGCGGCATCGGTCGCATTTGGGGGAGGGCATCTCCGTCGATCCATGGATTCGGCGACCGCGCGCCAAATCCACGGATCGCTAATCCATGTTTGCGCGCCCTCGGTTTACGTACCCTTTTCACGGGGGCTAATTCTTCATATTTTTGTTCCGCATCTGTTGTTTTCCTTGGTCGCCGTGCGTTGCCGTTCACTCGTCTGGCTGCTCCCCGGCCCCTGCCCCGCGCTTCTGGGCTTGGGCGTTACCCATCACGTACCCTCGCTCGTCGAAAGTAGTTGTTTTTGGAGCGTGTTTCTTTACTGCTTGGGGCATAATGGGCAGCATAGCCCCCGGCCCCCCTCCCCCCCCTACTACAACGTAACGCCCCTCCCCCCCCAGTGCGTTCCGGGCACTGCCGCCGTGCGCACGGCGGGGGGGAGGCGATACATCATAACCCCCCTGACCCATTCCCCCCTTATAATGGCCATTATCGCCGAAAATGAAGAAACGCGCTCTTGGAGCCCCAGGTTCCAATCCAACTTAGGCACCTTCCTATTTCAGTAGTCGAGATCGTTTCCCTTATCCCTCCTTTTCCAGCGGAGCGGGCGGAAGGAAACCCAACTTGCTTCAACGTCAATGATGTGTGCCTCTTGGGAGGCCTCTTGGAGGCCTCTTGGGCCATCCTGAGGCAATCTTGGGCATCTTGGAACGATCTTTCAGCGAATCGTGGCCCTCTTGGACAGTCGTTGGGGCCTGTTGGGGCCTGTTGGCCTGCCTTGGGACCCCTCTGGGCCCGAACACGTCACGTGTGTATATTTATATAGATATATATAAATATGTGTGTATACACACATGTATAAGAATATCAATTATAATAACACTAAGAAACCAAACACTTTAAAAACTAATAATAACAACAATAATGCTAATTAGTATGATCATAAGGAGAAGAAGAAGACGAAGAAGAAGAAGAAGAAGAAATACCGCCCCCCCCCGGCCCCGGGTCCCACACCTCCCCGCGACATCTCGGGGACGCTCCCGGTGCCGCTCCCGACGCCTCCCAGGAGCCCCCAGAATGCGAAAGGATGGCCCAAGTCGCTCCCAAGCAGCCCAAGTCAGCCTTCCGACGGCTCTCGAGGCTCCCAGGTGGCCTCCAAGAGACCCCAAGAGAGGTCCGAGAAGCGTCCCGAAACGGCCCGAAGAGGCCAAAATCGTAGATTGTAATGTTTTGGTATGTTTTTGGCTTCTCGCGTTTTCGAGCTTCCAACGGTCCAAGAGCGCCGAAGAAGTTCCCAAGACCGCCCCAAGACCACCCAAGAGACCCTCAGGACGGCCCCAATACAGGCCAAGAAGGCTCCACGATTGCCGAAGAGGCGCCCAGGACAGCCCCAGACCACCCCAGAACAGGCCCAAGATGGGCCCAAGAGCGGGAGCAGGAGGCTTCCAGAGACCTACGAGAGGCCTCTGGGACCACCCAGAGACCCCCAACACACCCCCGACCCCTGAGAGGATCCAAAAAAACCCTGATGAGGCTCCAAGAACAGCCCAAGAGAGCTGCGAGAGCCGTCCCGAGAGAGCCCAAAGAGGATAACATCGTTGATTTCCACAGGGTTTTTCTCATGTTTTTCGCCTTCTCACGTTTTCCCGCTTCCAACCCTCAAAGATCGAGGGTTTTTAACAAAAAAAAGGCATTCAATGAATTTTGTTTGATCGTGCTCCCCCTTTTGGTGCCGTCTTGGAACTCTCTTGGCTGTTTTGGGCGCCTCTAGGACCGTTTTGGGGCCCTCTTGGGCCGTCTTGGGACCCTCTTGGGGGTCTCTTGGGCCGTCGTGAGGCGGTTTTGGGGGCCCTGGGGCCGTCTTGGAGCGTTGGAAGCTCGAAAAGGCTACAACGTGAAGGAACATTGAAAAACACAATGGTAATCTATGATTTTCGCCTCTTTGGGCCCTCTTCGGGGTCCTGTTGGAACGCTCTTGGGGAGTCATTGGTGCCTCTTGGGCAGTCTTGTGGCCATCTTGGGCGTCTTGGAGCGATCTTCAACTGTCTTGGAGGCCTCTGGGCGGCCTGGGTGGGCTTCCTGGGCCGTCATGGAAGCCTTGGATAGCCCCATGGATGCGCCATGGCCGCCGAGGGACCCCCCAGGAGTAGGGGTGGTGCAGGTGGTTGGGTGCTTCCCGCGGACAGGGGGGTGCCTTGGAAGACCACAGAAAACCTGCCAGACAGCCCTCGGCATTATTCCACGCCTCGACGTGCTGCAGGCACGGTGGCGTCTTTATTTATTTGTGTAGACATACATAAATGTGTATATATATGTGTGTATGCTTCAAAACATGTGAATGTGTATATGCATGTCGGCATATACGTATGTATAGATGCATGCACACACATATATATATATATATATATATATAGATATGCGTGTATGTATTATGTCGTTGTCATTTGCAATCTCCCTGGCAGTTCAACAGGCTGCGGCAGACTGATGTTGTGGTCTCTTGCTTCTGTGTATTTTCTGCGTCCCTGCATGGTCGGGATCTGTTGTGTCCTCAACTGCCCACCTGTAGTGATGGCTGATATCGAATTTCGATTGCAATCGTACGATCGCGTCCCACGGCCCCCAGGCATTGAGCGTACTCTGCATCAGCACCCCGGCAAGATTGTCTTCTCTGCCGTCGATGCCGTACACCTTTTCGGAGGGGCGGGGCTCTCTGAGGACCGTTTCTGGTCGCAACAGGATCTTCTCGTGAAGACGAAAGAAGCGCAACACGTTGTAGTGGGAGAGCAGCGGAGGATGGCGCCGGCGGGGGGTGCAGAGGGCCAGTGGGAGGCTTCTTTCCAGACAGAAGGTATGCTTCGAGGAAGGAAGGCGGGGCGCTTTGGACATCGAGCGCGCCTGCCCGAGGCAGGTCACAGGGGCCGCGTGCACTGCGGTCCGGGCAGCCGGCTGGGCGGCGCGGACATCCGCGAGCAAGCTGCCCGCGTGTGGCCGCGCAGCGTGCCGCGTGAGCGTCCGACGTAAGTAGCTGCCGAAGGCCGCCGTGCCATCGTGCCCGGAGGAAGGAGAAGCGACACCACCACCACCACCAGGGGGGACCCCTCCAGCGGGGAGGATCACGATGTCTCCCCTGTGCCTGGGTCTCGAACTCGAGGGGGGGACCACACCACCAGGAGGACCCCCCCCCGAGTTCCCCGCGCTGGTTGTTGTGGTGTCGCCTTTGCCCCCACGTGCGCAGCACCCGTTACTTTGCGTCAAGTCGGGCGTGTCCCTCTACAGGAGGATATTCGAAAATAGTAAAAAAGAGTCTGGGGACAATTGTTTCACTATTTCTGAATATTTTTTTATATTTTTGGGGGTATTTTTAATTTTTCATCCAAAATCCCCCTGCAGGGGGACATGCCCGACCTAACCAACGTGCGCAGCACCCATTACTTTGCGCCGCCCTGCTGGAGAGGCTAGGCAACCGGAGAGCCTGCCTCTGTCGGCGGCCCCCCTGCAGCGCGGAGGCGCGCTTCTCAGATCCCGCCAGAGCTGCCGCGGTGAGGGTCGGTCGGGGCTCAAGGGACGGGGTTCAATTCAACGATAGGGGGGGATAGGCATAGGTGGCAACAATAGGCAGGGATAGACATAGGGGGGATGCATCGATAGGCATAGGGGGGTAACAATAGGGGACGGGGAGGAGATCAGCGCTGAGACCTTCAGCGGCAACGCTGTGGAGGGGTTTGAGGATCGAGGTTCCCGGTTCGAGGTTCAAGATTATTTTGTGTCTTCGTCGGTCTTCGGCGGCTTCCAGCCTCGGGGTGCACTAACAGGAGTTACGCCTCGCCGAGAGCGCGGGTTTGGGGAACGTTCCCGGTTCGAGGTTCAAGATTCTTTTTTTGGTTTCGTCGGTCTTCGGCGGTTTTCCAGCCTCGGGTTTGAGGGTCGAGGTTCCCGGTTCGAGGCTCCTGATTCTTCTGTGTTTTCGTCGGCCCTCGGCGGTTCTCCAGTCTCGGGATGCTCTCCCTGGCAGCTGCGCCTCGCCGAGAGCGCCGCTCCGGAGGTGCTCGGATCGTGGAACGGCCGTCGGAGCGCCGAGCTGTGGCGCAAGAGACGAAGTGGCAGCGTCCGGGGGGGGATCGACCCCCAGGGTTAAGTCGGGCACGTCCCTCGACAGGAGGAAGATTCAAAGACAGTCCAAAAATAGTCGGGGGGCGATTTGTCGACTGATGTCTGACCATTTTGCACATGTTCTGACTATCTTGTATCTTTCACCCTAAATCCGCCTGCAGGATCGATGCTCCCCAGGTCGTGTGTTAGCCCAGTATGTGTTTTCGCTCGTTCAGCTGCGCCCGATCGCACGCAGCGCACTTCGGCCCTCATTACACCGTCTGCGGCGTGTCGGAGGGCTTCGGTGGAAAAGCACACGCTGGCGCTAGAACACGTTCTGAGGATCATCGATAGTCCATATAGTCAATAATGGTAGAAAAATCGTCCCGAGGGGGTGTTGGGAAGGGTTACGTCGGGCCTGTCCCCCTACAGGAGGAAGATCCCGAAGTAGTCCAAAAAAGAGTCGGGGAACGACTTTGTCGACTATTTCGTTGACCACCTCTGCGAACAGGTTCTGTCTGTTTTTGTTATTTTTCGCCCAACATCCCCGCCTGCAGGAGGACATGCCCGACCTACACCCAGGGGGAACGATTTGTCGACTATTGTTTGACCACCTCTGCGAACAGGTTCTGACTATGTTTGCCATTTTTCGCCCAACATCTCCGCCTGTAGGAGGACACGCCCCACCTAAACCCAGGGGGAACGATTTGTCGACTATTGTTTGACCACCTTGGCGAACAGGTTCTGACTGTTTTTGTCGTTTTTCGACCAACATCCCCGCCTGCAGGAGGACATGCCCGACCTAAACCCAGGGGGAACGATTTGTCGACTATTGTTTGACCACCTCTGCGAACAGGTTCTGACTATGTTTGCCATTTTTCGCCCAAACTCTCCGCCTGCAGGAGGACATGCCCGACCTACACCCAGGGGGAACGATTTGTCGACTATCGTTTGACCACCTCTGCGAACAGGTTCTGACTATTTTTTGTCGTTTTTCGCCCAACATCTCCGCCTGCAGGAGGACATGCCCGACCTAAACCCAGAGGGAACGATTTGTCGACTATTGTTTGACCACCTTGGCGAACAGGTTCTGACTATTTTCCGCATTTTTCGCCCAAGCTCTCCGCCTGCAGGAGGACATGTCCCACCTAAACCCAGTGGGGCATGCTTCGCAGGCCAGCCACAACTGGGGGAGCTGTGCTCCTTACCTCCCTGGGGGACCCCTCGATCTCGGCACCCCTTTCTCGAGAGATCGTCGAGGCGATGGGTTCCCCCAGGGGGGTAAGAGGAGGAGGAGGAGGAGGAGGAGGAGGAGGAGGAGGAGGAGGAGAAAGAAGAAGAGGGGGAAGAAGAAGAAGAAGAGGAGGAGGAGGAGGAGGAGGAGGAGGAGGGAGGAGGAGGAGGAGGAGGAGGAGGAGGAGGAGGAGGAGGGGGGTGAGGACCACAGCTCCCCCAGTTGTGGCTGGTCGGCTTCGACCCCGGAGCGCCCGTCGATCGCCGGCGGGGGGCGCCCGGCGGCCCTCCCGGCGCAGGACCCCTGCGCGCTCGCGCTCACCTTGTGTCGGGCCTGTCCCCCCACAGGGGGATACTCGACGAAACATTAGAAATACCCCCAAAACAGCAAATTCGACTAACAGGGGGACTTTCGACCCCAAAAATACAACAAAAAGGTCAAAAAAGACTCCAAAAAAAGTCCCCCGACTGTCTTTGGAATATGTTTTGACTATTTGGGGGGGCTTTTTTGTTTTTCGTCGAAAGAGCCCCTGTAGAGGGACAGGCCCGACTTAGCTCTCACCATCGGGGGCTCATCGCCGATTCCAGGTCGACGCACCTTCCCGGGAGCCAGTCTCCCCCGACCTTTCCTAGAGGGGTTCTCCGAAAGGCTTGGGCGACACCTCCCCCTCCTCCTCCTCCTCCTCCGCCTCCTCCTCCTTCTCCTCCTCCTCCGCCTCCTCCTCCTCCTCCTCCTCCTCCTCCTCCTCCTCCTCCTCCTCCTCCTCCTCCCCCTCCTCCTGCCTGTGCATGTAGCAGGGGGGCAGCATTCACATCATTCATCAAGCCAGGTTCCGCGCTGGGCTGGAAGTTCGGTTTTGTTCCGTGTGCGGGGTGTACGCCTCCCAACAGATCGGGAAGCTAGCCGTCACATGTGACACACCCACCGCCACGGGGCGGGAGTATTTACGTCGAATTGCGTTGGGGATCTGGCCCAAAGTAATTACTCGGCAAAGCTGAAACTTTCCAGCGAAGCGGGAAGCAACAGGCACCACAGTAGTCGCCAGCGGACTTTAATCATATCGCTGTCCCGAGACCTGCGACGTCCCGAGACCAGTGCGGAGGGAGGGAGCTCTCTTCCGCACCCGGCAGGCTGGTGCTGCTGGATGCAGAGAAAAAGGTTCCCTCTGGACGCCCGAAATGGGTACGGAAAGAATGGGTACAATACCCAACAGCAGTCCCTGTTCATTTTGAACAGGATTCGCTGTTCACGCCGCCGCGGCCTGTGTCCATTCGAGACAGAAGGCCGCCTGCCCAACAGTGGCCGCTGTTGGTTTGGGGCAAAATTTGTTGTTGGGCATTGTACCACATTTTTTCCGTACCCATTTCGGGCGTCCCAATTCCCGACCCACCCTGCGGACTCTGCATGCCGCGGCCGCCAGGCTCGGCGCGTGCCGGAGCTCCCCGGGTATGCCGTCTCGTGCCCTCGACGGAGGACGGCTGCATGTGGCGGCCGCCGGGCCCGAAGCGCGCCAGCGTTCCCTGGTTGCTCCAGATTTTGTAATAAAAGGAAGGGGGTCTGGACCCTCCAAGACAAGCCATTTCAGACCTCCCCCGTGGGAGAACCCTCCAAAACATCGTCCCCAGACCCCCCAGGCCCTCCAAGATAGCCTGGAAGAGACCCCCCCCCGAAATGAGACCCCCCTCCCTTTATTACGAAATCTGGAGTATCCCGCCTCGCGTTCTCTGGTGAGGATTGCTCGAAGCACCATGGTTTGATGCCTGCGTTCTCCTGCCATCGCGGGGCACCCTCGGTTTCCAGGGAGCAGTCAAAATGCGGCCCGGGACGAGGGGGCGGCCTCCCAGGGGCGAGGTCGAGGCTTCCAAGTCCCGCGTTTGAACATAGGCTTGTCGTGGAAACGTAGACTCGAGCACGCCGGGACGCGGGTTTGCCGACGTTTTTTGACGAGCGCGTCCTGGATTTTGACGGTCCAGCTTTCGTGGGATGTTTGAAGCGGGAGGTCGCGTCAAATGTCAGACTAGGTATCATCATTTTCATGATGGCCCCCTCAGGCCAACTCGAGTCCCCCGTGACCGAGTCTTACCGCTCCCCGATTTTGTTTGGGTGCGTCGGTGCTCGGCGGGGTCTGCGGGCATTCCCGCGACAAGCCCCTTCCACCACACTGCCGGATGCCCCACCACAGAGCCCCAAAATTGCCACCAGTGCCCCAAAAAGCCCCAAACAATACCTGGAACGACGATGCCGAAGACGACAACGACCACGAGGACAAGGGCGATGAGGAAGACTACCTTGGAAGACCCAAAAGACCCAGAACGGCAAAACACCTTGAACGGCGACGCTCACTTGGAGGCCCAGGGTGAACCAGAAACGCCCAAACAAGTCATTCGAACCTCGAGCGACGACGACGACGAGGACGGCGGCGACGATCCCCCGAGCCCCACATGAGCCAGAAGCTTCCAAGAGCTTCGATCCTCGAACGAATACGACGGACTACGGTGCCCGGACAAAATGCGACCACGCCCATGGCGGGAAGGCAATGCAATATGGTAACAACCACAATTGCGAAATACACTTGCTTCGCACCCCGCCCCCCCAAACCCAAAGTTGAAGTGTCCACATCTTGTCCCTGGCTTTGAGCCCTCCGCCTGAACCCGTCAACTTTGAATTTGGAGGAAAGGTGATATACATGTTCGTCCGACGTACTTTCCTAACTGAAGGTCTTGGCGAGACACGCGTGGACACTTTTAGTCTACCCACCGTACGGCGGCGCGGCGAGGATTCGAACGACTACGGCGGACTCCTCTGAAGGCAGGAAAGGGGTGTGGCATCAAGGGGTGTGGTGCCAATGCTGAACCTGGCGGTGTACCTATCACAGATGACACCCCCATGTCCACGATTGGCACCACACCCCTTTGTGCCACACCCCCTTTTCCTGCCTCCGGAGCTGCGGCGGCGATGGGCGAGCCGAAGCAGAACGCACGAAGCAGACACTTCCGAAGCGCCGCGCGGTTGTCTCGACTCGGCGCCGGGACCCCCGGCGGCGGCCCTGGCGCCGCCCCTGGCGCGCTCCGCGGGTTGACCCCAAAGGGGGTCCAGCGACGAGGGGGTGGTGCAGTAGATTTGGTGCAATAGATTCGTGGGGTTGCAATACATCTGGGGCGTGCAGTACATTTCAGGGTGCAGATGTGTTGCTGGACTCTCGCGTGCAATGCATCACATGCAAACGCAATGCAGTACAATTCTCTGGCGCAGTACATTTGCAGTACAGTTGCCCCAAATATGCTGCACCACCCCCTTTCAGCTGGACCCCCTTTTGGGTCACCGAAAGCTCCGCGCGCCAAGGAGGGGGGTAAAGAAAGGATCCAATAAAGTGATGTTTTTTTTTCAATTCATTGCTTTGCCAATCGGCGCGGGCTCCAAAACCCTCCCTGCCCCCCCCATGCAGTAGGTCTTGGCTGTTTTGGGGGGCGCCTGTTTCGAGCGGGTGGGGCCCCCCAGAGGCAGCACTCTTGCAAACAGTCGCACTAAGCAGAGGTCTGGAGCCAGACCCCCCCTCTCCCCCCCCCTTTCCGCCCAATGTCGAAACGCCGAACAAAGAACGTTCACAAATCCGCGCGGACCGCCGACAGTGTAATTATGCTTCTGCCGTCGTTTCTTCTTATTTGGTTTGCTCTACCTTGTTGTTCTTCTTATTATTCTTCTTCTAACGGCGGCGACGACGACGACGACGGAGAGGGGGGCTCAGGTCCTGGCAGTGCCTTGCTGTGCCTCGAGAACCTGGGCTTCGACGTCCGGCCAGTGGCCGCTGGGGAGGACCCCCTCGGCACCGCGCAGGGACGGTCTGACTCTCTGGAGGTCGGCCTCCGTCGGGCTGCAGTTTGGCGCCCGCTGCTGGCTGAAGGCTGGTTTTATGCCGAGGGGGGAGAGGACACCGATGCCGCCGCTCGTCCTCGAGCGCCCTCGTCGCCACGGCCGGCTTCTCCCGGAAGCTGTGGCGGGAACGCGCCGCGGGAGAGCGCCGGTGGGGGTGCTGAGGTCGGCCACGGCCGGCCGGACGTTCGAGGTGCCCAGGTGGGGTGGTCGATTGTGGCGGGGATTAGTCGATAGGATGTGATGCAGCGGCCCGGCTCTGGCCTCTGACTCAGACGGGTGCGTGGGGGGCTGGATCGCACGACGGCTTCCAGCCAGTCTGTATTCTGCGGCGTCCTCTTCCCCCTTCCCCCCCCCCGAGCCCCAACATTTCACCTAGGGCAGCTGAGCCAAGTCTAGGTTCACGTGCGGTCATAGGTCCCACCAGCTGTCATGCCACGCCTGAGTGTGAATCCGACCCAGGTTCCTGCTGGGGGCAGACCCTGAGAGGTTGGACTCTGAGCTCTGAGTGGCCAGACCCCGACCGAAGGGGCTCTCACTGCCTTACCGCCCTTGAGGCCAACGAGAATTATTGGCAAAGGTTCGTGTGCGTTGGACCTACTGGGGAGGTGGACAAGGAGGGTCGATAATTTCGAGGCCGAGGAAAAGGAATGCTTGTAGCTTATTGACGAGGGTACTTACAATATTCGTTGCATTGGCTGGTTTCCCTGGCCTCCATTCGCTTCCGGTCACTTGACTGCCCCTCGGCCCCCACCCCGCTCTTCCGGGTTCGGTTGTTACCCGTCATGCACCCTTTGCTCGTTGAAAGTGTATATATATACACGTATAGATAGTGGGTTGCCCGTATTCGGATCTCCCTCGAGCGCGTTCATATTTTACGAGTCGAATTGTTCTCCGTTTTCCTTCCGTTGCTTGGGGCGGGCGGACACCCAATGTATTTTCGCCTTCGTGCTGGATGCTTATGCCACATTGCTTCGAACGATGTGTGGGTGGCCCTGTGGTGGGCGCTGGTGGCCTAGGCAGTTCTTTGGTGCCCAGGCGTGTCGCGAACTGAGGGGGCAACGCGGACTTGACAGGAACAATCACTGTGCGCCCGATGTGCTGTAGGATGCTCCCGCCCGCTGCCACGCAGTGCACTGCACAAGCGGTCGTCGGCTGCTGGGTCGCACCTCTCCGTCGGTCGCTCTCTGGTGGCGGCGTTTCCGCCAGCCTGACCGACTTCCTTCTCCTCCTCGTCGTCCTCCTCCTCCTCCTCCTCGTTCTCCTCCTCCTCCTCCGCCTCCTCCTCCTCCTCCTCCTCCTCCTCCTCGTCGTTCTCCTCCTCCTCCTCCTCCTCCTCCTCCTCCTCCCTCCTCGTCCTCCTCCTCCTCCTCCTCCTCCTCCTCCTCCTCCTCCTCTCCTCCTCCTCCTCCTCCTCCTCCTCCTCCTCCTCCTCCTCCTCCTCCTCCTCCCCCTCCCCCTCCCCCTCCTCCTCCTCCTCCTCCTCCTCCTCCTCCTCCTCCTCCTCCTCCTCCTCCTCCTGACTGTACTGCTTCGCCTCGAGGACCTCGGCTGCGAGCCGCCCAAGGCGGCGGCCGCCGGCGGGCAGGGCGCCAAGGACCCGCCCCCGCCCCCCCCTGCCGAGGGAGGCCGCGCCTCCTGGCGCCGACCTCGCGGAGCGGATTCCGCTCGGAAGGCCTTGTCCTGGGGACGGGGTCCACTCCTCCTCCTGCTCCTCCTCCTCCTCCTCCTCCTCCTGCTCCTCCTCCTCCTTCTCCTCCTCCTGCTCCTCCTCCTCCTCCGGGGGACGCTAACCAGGGCACTTTTCGGCTCCCCCCCGTCGCGCGGACAGTAACAGTTTACAGTAGGAAGCCAGGAGTCACGTCCCAGGAAGAACTCACTCGGGAAGAAATCACGACGCCGGAGGTCGGAGGAGGGGGAATTGAGACAGCACGGCCGGGTGCCCGGAATCCGTGAGGAGACAGCCTGGTGTCATGAGTCGCGGTCTGGAGCGGAGGGTTGCTCCTCTCGATGCCGTGGTAGCTGCGCGTTGGCGCGAAGAGTCATGGCGCCAACATCGCAGTGCGGATTTCGTTCGGAAATATAGATAGGATGGGCCCGGAGTGTCTTGGAGAGTTTCGTTCTGGGCTTCGAGGTGAATTCCGTGCGATTTTTTTTTTGGGGGGGGGACCAGGAACGAAGATTAAAAAAAAACACGCGAAATTCACTTCGTTTTTCACTCGCTGTTTCGGGGTTTTGCTTTGGCATAAATCCACGCAAAAATCCGCTGCAGGACGTCTGCAAGGTCGGTGCAATGACGCGTCGTCAGCGGTCTTCCTTTCGGGAATGTTCTGCTGAGGCGTTTCTGGAGGGTCTGGCCGCCACGGCGTGGTGCGGCTCGGGCATTGGCCGGGATGTGCCCTGGGAGTGTTCCCGCGGCGGGTTCTGAGCGGATGTTCTCCTCCTCCTCCTCCTCTTCCTCCTCCTCCTCCGACGACGGCGGCGGCGAGGGGGGCGACTACAGCGGATGCCAATAGACCCGAGCGTGCTACTGGAGTTCTCCGTGATGCCATAAACGTCGAAAGGGAGTCCAGCGAGGAGGAGGAGGAGGAGGAGGAGGAGGGGAACAAGGAGGAGACCACGGAGAATGACGATATTCTTTGGGGGCCTTTGTGGTCTCCGCATGTCTCTGATGGCTCATGGCTGCATCATGAGGCTACGTCGAAGCTCCTTGGAGCAATCGTGCAGTCGTCTTTGGTGTTCTCGGATCATCCTCGCCTGCGCTGAGAGCATCGTGCCAGACCATTGTTCCTGGGACTTCAGCTCCGCGAATCAACGTGACTCTTGCCCTCCTGGCAATCTTAAACCGTGCCGGCAAGCCATGTCTGGGACGTCCGCCATAATCATCCGTTATGTTGCTGTCATTTGTTCAGACGAGTGCGCGTGGTGTTGATGCGGTAGCCACATTTTGAAGCCGACCCGCCCCTGTGTGCTCACGGAGATCCCCTACGTTCAGGTATCCAACTATTTCGTTAGGGATCTTGGTCAGGAGTTCGTGACCAGTAGTATGTTGAAGCATCTTGGAGCTAGTGAGAACCCTCGAGCACAGGAACTTTTGGATAGAGGACTCTGGACAGAACCCGCTAACATCATTTGGAACGGCAAGAAGGACATACACATTCGCATAATTCAGCGAGCGAAGAACGGTATAAAATACATGTTCCCCCGTCGGGGACACCTGCCCCTGGGCGGCTGGAAAGTTTATACCCCTACGGTGCTACCGTAAGAGTATAAACTTTCCAGCCGCCCTGGGACAGGCGCCCCCGACAGCAAAAAAGTTTATTTTACACCATTCTTCGCCCGTTAAATAATAGTCAAACAGGTGTTCACCATAAGTTATGCTACGGCTGCCCGTCTTCGCAGATGGCGTCACAAAGGTGCAGCCAATTTTGACTGTTCCGCAGGGACAGCGCAGTGCTGGACAGTGTCTGGCACCGAGTCTTCGGGTGCCCGCGCGTCGCCGAGCGGAGGGAGCCGAGCACGTGCCCACGGCGTGGGCCGAGGCAGGCCTCGCAGCAGGGGGCCAGGACCCGCTGTTTGGCCAGCTGTGGTCGCCACAACCAGATGGCGTTACAAAGGTGCAGCCAATTTGCCTGGTCTGCAAGGACAGCGCAGTGCTAGACAGTGTCTGGCACGGAGTCTTCGGGTGCCCGCGCTTCGCCGAGCGGAGAGCCGGGCACATGCCCACGGAGTGGGCCGAGGCAGATCTCGCAGCAGGGGGCCAGGGCCCGTTGTTTGGCCAGCCGTGGTCGCCACAACCAGATGGGACAGGCCTCGGGAAAAATTAGCGAACATTCATGCCACATTCATCTGTGAACGCCTCCCCCTTCCCCCAATGTTCAAAGTTGGCGGTGGGTCTGATGAGTTGCACCTCGACCGCAGTCTCCCCCCCGCGTGCCAACTTTGAGTTTGGGGGGGCAGGGGGGGTGTTCACTAATTGTTTCCCTCTACCGCATTGCCCCTGCACTGTGGGAAGGGGAAGTCAGACGTGCTGGGCCTGATGGATGGGCCCACACAGGAGTTCAGGTCTTCTAAGATAGATTATACGTATTCGGATATGGTTCTTGCTTCGGAGGCAAGAATTGCATTGGTGGCGAGAGCTGGGTGGGCTGTAGTGTCGGTGGACGATGGAGGTCGTTTTCTACAAGCCGCTTTCGGACATGTTCCTGGGTTTCTCCATCAGTCTGCGGTGTTTGGGGTGCTATGGGCTGCTGCCGGCCCCGCTTCACCTGGAGGGGGACCCAGAGAAATCAGATCCCGACAGCCCGTTCACGATCCACGTGGGTTGTAAGAGCCTGCTGTCAGTAGAACATGTAATGTCCGCCGCCTCGGGACAGCCCGCTAGCAGAAGTTTGGCGTACCCTGTGTTTGCGAGGTCCTTTCCCAGCCTGGAGGTTGAAAAAATGTGAAGGCACATGTGACGGAGACACTCGAGGGCATCCAACTGCGTCACCAGCGTGGGAACGACCGAGCAGATGAGTGCGCCAAGGATGGGGCGAAGATCCATCCGCAGATCTTGGAGAACATTTATCGTTTTGAAATGATCTTAGATGTTTGGGGTGAGGTTACTCTATGCGCTGCTAATATTCGAGCCGACACCGAAGGCACGAGATCTCTTTGGGAAACTTGATGGGGATGTCCCGGGGTCTCTGGGTCTTCCTGCGGTCGCCGCGAACAAGCGCTCTCATCGCGTTCTGTGGAACGGCTCCACGTAGCGATGTGCGAGGTGCGCCAAGAGCTTTAGGAATAAGTCTGCTAAGGGTGTGTGTGTGTGTGCAGCACTGACCCCGTCCCTGCTAGAAAAGGTTAGGGACGGCGAGGTGTCGACTCCCCATACAATGCATGCCTGTAGGGTTTTAGAGTCGGGGGTCCCCGTGGTTTTGGTGTCGGATGTGGGGCCTGTACCTCGGGCCCTGCTGGGGCTTTGGGGGCCCCTTGCGTCGAAATATTCAAGCAGCAGCGGAAGCAGCTCTTCAATGGGAAGTTGCCATGGCCGCGAGGAGTGTATGCCTCGAGTTCCTGGCCCTTGGCCCGGCCTGCAGAGTTGGGTGAGTGGTGCGCCAGGCTTCAGCACGTCTGAATATTATATAATATATATATATATATATATATGTATAGATTCCGCCAGCCCCACCGAGCCGTGTTCGAAGGAGCGATGAGAGAGCCATTGGAAAGGAGGAGGAGGAGGAAGAGGAGTTGGAGACGGAGGAGGAGGAGGAGGAGGAGGAAGAGGAGGAGGTGGAGGTGGAGGAGATAGAAGAGGAGGAGGAGGAGGAGGAGGAGGAGGAGGAGGAGGTGGAGGAGATAGAGGAGGAGGAGGAGGAGGAGGAGGAGGAGGAGGAGGAGGAGGAGGAAGGAGGAAGGAGGATGGGGGAGGCGGAGGCGGAGGAGGAGGGGAGGGGGGGGGGGGGCGAAGAGGGAAGAAGAGGGATGTGGAAGACGAGGACGAGTACGAGGACGAGGAGGAGGGGGATGAATACATCGATTTCTCCCCCTTAGTTGCTCCCCCCGTGTCGCCCCCCTGCTGCAGACATGGAATTTCTTGTTTTGTTTGGTGCGCGGTCCCCGGATAGTTCGAGCCCCTCCCCAGGGCGGACTTTTCTGCCCGAGTGGTTGTTGGCTTGTTGGCGGTCCCGAAGCCTGGCGGGGGCCCCAGGAGGTGAAGACCAGCCAGCAGCCGTCCATCGTACTTCGCGACGCGACACCGTGTGTTGCTTTCGGGTAGTCGCTCGGGCCTCTGGCCCCCGATCGGAACGATCCGAGCACTTCCCGAAGACCTTCCACAGGGAGCAGCTGCTGGAACACAACTCGAGGTTGGAAGGCAGCCGGAAGCCAACGAACACCTCTGAAACACTCGGGCCCCGGGCTGGGAGCCTCGAGCGTGTCTGGGAGGGTGGCGGCCCGGAGGAGCGGCCGCCGCGGCAGTGCCTGATGCCCCCCGACCTCGCGCAGCCGGCGTCGTGCGGGGCCTTCGCGGCGCAGCTCGGGCACAGGCCCCGCGCGCGGGCGACCGCCGACGGGCGGCGCGCTCGCATTAGCGACGGGCGGCGCGTCGGGGGACGCTGGCGGCGGCGACGACGCTTCGGGCTGCTCGGCTGGACTCGTCCTCCTCATCCTCCTCCTCCTCCTTCTCCTCCTCCTCCTCCTCCTCCTCCTCCTCCTCCGCCTCCGCCTCCACCTCTGCCTCCGCCTCCTCCTCCTCCTCCTCTTTCTCCTCCTCCTCCTCCTCCTCCTCCTCCTCCTCCTGCCCCTCCTGACAAGTTCATGGTGGAGGCGCGCGGGGAGGGAGTGTAGTTCAGGCAGGAACGGACGTCTTCGGCCACAATTCACCTCCTCCTCCTCCTCCTCCTCCTCCTCCTCCTCGTCCTCCTCCTTCCTCCTCTTCCTCCTCCTCCTCCTCCGCCTCCTCCTCCTCATCCTCACCCTCCCCCTCGGGCCAGTGGGGATTCGGGAGGCCGCAGGGCTGTTCGACGTGGGTAGCTCGCCGAGGTTGTCCCGGGGCGACCGGGGCCCCCCCGGCGGTCCGAAGGCCGTGTGGCGACGGGCCGTGCGGTGGCGGTGAGGCCTTTCGGGGCTTCGAGGTCACAGCACGGTCCGTCGCCGCGCCGTCTGGGGGTCCCCGACCGACGGCGGTACGACCCGCGGGGGCCTCCCGCTCGCTCGAGCGAAGGAGCGAGCGCACGAGGAGGAGGAAGGGGGAGGAGGAGGAGGAGGAGGAGGAGGAGAACCTCCTCCCGCGAGCAAGCCAGCCGCGAGCGCGCACGCCGGCGACCCAGGGCTTTCCCAAAACAGTGCTTGCACTGCAGGGGTCCTAGCGGAAGTTGAAAGCCTTGGCGAAAGTTTCCCGCCGATTTTGGCAGCAGCCTGGGTTCCCAGGTTCCCGGTTCCGGGTTCCCGGGTTCCCGGCTATTGGTTCCGGGCCGATTGCAGTGGGCTCCCGGGCTCCCGGGTTCCTGGACGATCTCCTCAGCGGAAACCATCCTCTGATTTACCAGCCTCGAACGTATCCCTATCCCTAAGATTGACACGCCAAAAGGCGATGACAATCTTAGGGATTCGCCCTCAAAAAATAAGGGAATCCCTAAGATTGGCATAGTGATGAGGAGGTGCCCAGCATAGGGATAGGGATATGTTCCAGGCTGGTAATCAGCGGAAACCATCCACTGATTGGGGTTTCTCTCTGGTGTAGTGTGGCCCCTGCCCGCCGGACGCAGGCTCGGCGGCGACGTGCTGCACGGCCGCCACATGTCGCACGAGAGGCCCCCTGCGGGGGCGCGGGCGGCCACCCTGCCTCGGGCGGCGGCCTCGTCCAGCGGTTGGGCGCGGGGGGGAGGAGGAGAGGGAGGAGGAGAGGGAGGGAGGAGAGGGAGGGAGGAGGGGGGAGGGAGGAGGGGAGGGAGGAGGAGGGGAGGGAGGAGGGGGGAGGAGGATGAGGATGAGGATAACGACCGCGACGACGACGATTATGATGGCGATGTTGATGCTGATGATGATGCTGATGATGATGCTGGTGATGAGGATGAGGATGATGATGATGATGATGCTGATGCTGATGCTGATGCTGATGATGATGATGATGATGATGATGATGATGATGATGCTTGTGATGATGCTGATGATGCTGATTATGATGGTGAGAATGATGACGATGGCGATGGTGATGCTGGTGATGTTGATGATGGGGGTAGTGGTTCTGATGATTATGGCGATGATGATCATAATGACGATGATGATGAGGATGATGCTGATGATACTGATGATGATGCTGTTCATGGTGATGCTCACTCATGGTGGTGGTGATTCTAGTGGTGGTGAGATGATGGTGATGGTGATGGTGATGTTCAGGGTGATGATCAGGGTGATGAACAGGGTGATGATGATGCTGCTGATGATAATAATTATGATGATGACGATGACAATGACGATGACGATGACGATGGTGAGTATGATGGTGATGGTGATGGTACTGGCGATGGTGATGATGACGATGATGATGATGATGACGATGACGATGAGGAAGGTTGTCCTGATGCTGCTGCTGATGATTGTGATGGTGGTGATGGTGGTCATGCTGCTGATGATGAGGGGGTGAAAGAGGTAGATGATGAGGATGAGGACGATGTTGAGGACGGGGATGAGGATGAGGATGATGATGAGGAAGATGATGACGATGATGACGATGCTGGTGGTAGTGTTGATGATGATGGTGATGATGATGCTCATGGTTATGGTCGTGATGATGGTGATGCTGATAATGACGATGATGATGATCATGCTGATGATTATGATGATGATTGTGATGGTGATGGTGGTGATGGTGGTGATGATCATGCTGCTGATGATGCGGAGATGGAGGAGGTGGAGGATGAGGATGAGGATGAGGACGATGTTGAGGACGAGGATGAGGATGAGGATGAGGACACGGATGAGGATGATGAGGATGATGATGAGGATGATGATGATGATGATGACGACGATGATGATGGTAGTGCTTATGATGATGGTGATGTTGAGGATGAGGATGACGTGCATGGGTATGGTGGTTATGATGGTGATGACCAGCATGTTGATGATGGGGAGGTGGAGGCTGAGGATGAGAATATGATGAAGTGGAGGATGTGGACACGGATGAGGATGAGGATGAGGATGGGAGTGAGGATGAGGAAGATGCGGATGAGGATGAGTAGCATGGAGATCAGGCAGATGATGATGATGTTGATGATGATGTTGATGTTGTTGTTGATGACGATGCAGTTGTTGTTGATGGTGATGATGATGACGAGGGCGACGACGACCACGACGACGACGATGATGATGACGATGTTGATGCTGCTGATGATGATGATGCCGATGGCGACGAGGGTGATGGTGATGATGGTGATGGGGGCGACGATGTGTATCATGATTGTGATGTTGGTGATGATAATGATGATGATGCTGATGGGGATGAATATGGGAATGGTGATGTCAATGATGAGGCTGATGCCGATGGTGGTGATGGTGATGACGATGTTGATGATTGCTCATAGTATGATGGTGTTGAGTATGATAACGATGGTGGTGGTGATGATATTGGGGATGCTGACCATGATTATTGGTGATGGTTGATGATGATGATGCTGCTGATGATGCTGGTGATGATGACGACGACGGCGACGATAATGATGATGTTGCTGATGCTGATTTCTTTTATGCTTATGATGACGAGTATGAGGAGCAGGACGACGACGACGAGGACCAAAACGAGGACGAGGACGATGACGAAGACCAGGACGACGAAGGCGACGAGGACGAGGACGAGGGAGGGCAAGACTCCGATGTTTGCGCCCACGTGCCTCGACACGCGACCGCGCGCCTCGAGGGCGAGGACGCGGGTGCAGCAGCGCCAGAACATGCAGAGGAGGAGGAGGTGGAGGAGGAGGAGGAGCAGGAGGAATAGGTGGAGGAGGAGGAGGAGGAGAAGGAGGGGGAGGGGGAGGCGGAGGGGAAGGACGATGGGGGAGGACGAGGGGAGGCGAGGACGAGGAGGAGGAGGAGGAGGAGGAGAGGAGGAGAGGAGGAGAGGAGGAGGGAGGAGAAGGAGGAGAAGGAGGAGGGAGGAGGAGGGAGAGGGCAAGGGGAGGTGGGGAAGGGGAGGAGGGGGCAGCAGCAGGAGGGTGGAGAGGAACAGCTTGAGGAGGGAGGAGAATGAGGAGGAGGAGGACGACGACGACGACGACGCGGGCGAGGACGAGTATGAGGACGAGGACGAGGACGAGGACGGGAGAGCAGGAGGGAAATGGGGAGGAGAGGGGAGGGAGGAGGAGGACAAGGAGGAGGAAGAGGAGGAGGAGGAAGAGGAGGAGGAGGAGGAGGAGAAGGAGAGGAAGGACTCGGGAGCACACAGGCAAGATATTTCTTGAATATGCACAGAAGCTTGGTGCCGTATGTGTGAAACTCCAGCTCATCTTCACTTGGCTTGCTGAAGAGTTGCGCAGTCTGCTTGGCGGTCTTGTCGGCCTCGTCACTACCTGCCGCAATCTCCCTATGCTGGGTACCCTCGAATTTCCATGAGAGGTCTTAGTGGGCCTTGACTTTGACCAGGGCCAATCCAGTCATCCAGGGGGGCGGAGGCTAGCGCCACGCTAAAACTTCAAACCCGACATCTGATTCTGCCTTGGGAGAGTTGCCTGGGTGTGTATGGCAGACTGGCAGTCGGTGTGAACATCGGAGACGAGACTAGAGGCGCGGCAGGCAGCAAGGGCAGCGAGGTGTTTGGTTGTTCCTGAGTTCCTGAGGTCAGCTGGAACATGCTGGCAGGGGGAGGGGAAGGATGAGGAGCAAGAGGAGCAGTACAAGGAGGATGGAGCAGCAGGATGAAGAGGGAGGCGGCTGTGCAGCTCTACTGGGCGAGCACGGTGGCGACGACGGCGAGGGCGCTGGGCGGCGCGGTCTGCTGGCGCAGCGGCGGAAGGTGCGACGCCTGTCTGGCGGACGACGTGAGTTGCACCTGCAACGTCACCTGGCAGAACGACTCCGCCTTCGCGCGGCTCTGCGAGGACATGACAGTGGGCGACGTCTACGGGCAGGAGAGGGGTGGGTGGGAGGTTCGAGGCTCTGCTGTGGTTTATCGTTCGTGTGTGTTGAGCAATGGGTGCATCTATTGCTGCATGCACGTGGTCTGTGGCCGGCTTGGGTGACGAAACGTGAGCCCGATGCTGGCACATTTTCGTTTGACGTGCTGCTCCCAGCTGATTTGAGGTTCCGGAAGTTTCTTAACTAATTTGCTGGGGGGTCCGATGCCCAGGACAGGCACAGAAGCCGTGCACGTCAGATGTGCGTTGACAGAAGGCTGAAACGGAGATGATTGGGTGAAAACCGTGAGACGGTTCATCGTGGAATGTAGGTCGACACTCAGGGGCGATACCCGAGAACAGGCGCGCAAATTGCTACGGTTCTGAGCCAGTTTCGATGAAGACAACAAGGGCGAGGGGGGGCGACTCCGAGGAGGGCTATGTTTTAAGATCGAGTTTCTGTTGGCGTTTCTGGCCTTTTGCCTGGGTGGTCTCGGGTCGGTGCGGTCGAAGTAGGTACGGAAAGAACAAGTACGAAGATTAACTGAATTTCTTCGTCGTTTTGGACTGGACTCGCTGTCGGTGTGACCGCGGACATAGTCCACTCGAGACAAAACGCCGCCTGCCCACGAGCGCCGGCTGTCGGTTTTGAACACCATTTGTTATTGGGCATCGTGCTCATTTTGTCCGTGGCCTTTCTCGGGCGAAGAGAACCAGACTCTGGGTTTCTTGATGACCGTGGAAGGGTACCCCCCCGACGGGGGTCAACCTTGCCTCGTCGTCGCGCCTCGGAGGTCGGAGCGCCTTCGGCGCGCGGTGGCTGCCCGCGACGGGGGTCGATGTGGGGCTGTCGGCGGGGGTGACGCCCCCCCGAGGCTTATCAAGAAATTCGGAGTGTGCACATGCACCGATCCTGGCCAGGCCCATCCTGGGCCCAGGATCGGTGCTTGTGCCTCCCTCGCCCAGCCACGAAGGCGTATACACCGACCCTGGGGCCAGGATGGGCCTGGCCAGCATCGGTGCACATGCACTGCGTACCCGTCGGTCATTGAAAGCTGGTATGCTCTAGCTTTCCGGATCCCAATCTACTTTGGGCGCCTTCCTATTTCGACGATCGAGTGGGTCCCCCTCTTCCGTCCTCTTCTTCGGGGGGCGGGCGGAAGCCCACCTCCACCTCCAACCGCCGTGGCCATTTTGGCTCGGGCCGTTCGGCTCGAGCCCGAGCCTTGTGGGCCTCTGCCCCTCCGCAGAGGCGCAGTCGGCCTCCGCGCCAGCTCGGCACTGGGCCGACCGCCGAGCCGGCCCGCGCCGCCGAGGCCGCCCTCGCAGAGTGGCGGCCCGCGCGGGCCGCCAGCTCTCTCCGCGCAGGGCCTCTTCGGAGGCGGCGCGCGGCCGCAGGAGGCCGCGCCGCGCCCCTGCACGAGCGCCATCATTACCAGCCTGGAACATTTCCCCATCCCTATGTTTGACATCACCTCACCTCGATGCCGACCTTGAGGACTCCCTCGGTTTTTGAGGGCCCATCCCTAAGATTGTCCTCGCTGTTTGCTCGCCCATCTTAGGGATAGGGATACGGTAGGTTCGCGTCGTGTCGACCAGCGGCGACCCCGCCGCCGACGTTCAACGTTGAACGCCGACGGCGGCCCAGAATCGGTCGATGTTGAACGATCGGACGTTGCGGAGACGGCCGATCGTTCAAGGTTGAACGATCCAGCGCGGTGTCAGGAACCAACGCCAGGGTCGACACGGCACGGACCTGCAGTACGTTCGAGGCTGGTTACGTCAGGGAGGCCGCACGGGGAGCGCCCGCCGCTCACGGGGGCGGAGGGGAGCTGGAGCCCGGCAGGGTCGCGGGGCCTCGGCGAGAGCTCGGCGAGCCTCGAGCTCGACCCTACCAGCCTCGAGCGTATCCCTATCCCTGAGACTGACACGCCAAAAGTCAGAGCGTGAATTACCTACCCCGCTTTCGCTTCCAGGCAAAACCAAGCCATACCACGCGCCTCCTCGTCAAGCGGCCTGACCAGTACAGGCTGCAATCTGGCATCGTTTGGTATCTCTTGGAAGCGAGGGTGGTCAAAAGCGAGGTAGGTTTGTTTCCCCCCTAAAAACGCGATGGCAATCTCAGGGATTCGCCCTCAAAAAATAAGGGAATCCCCAAGATTGGCCTCGTGATGAGGAGGTGCCCCGCATAGGGATAGGGATGTGTTCCAGGCTGGTAAGACCCCCTGCGCCGCCCCCCTCGGCGAGGCGCGCCGAGGGGGAGCGCAGCGCGCTGATGCCGCGGCCCGAGCCCGAGCCCGGTGCGGCGCGGCCCCCGTGACGACATTGGTGGATGGAGTTGCGGGTGCTTGTTGCGCGCTGGCGGTCGTGGAGGAATTTGCAGAGGCAGCGCAGCCATCCACCTCTGATGAAGCCGCCGCAACGCACGCCAGCACATCTTCAAGGGCATCTTTTCAGTGGCTCTGGCACAGTTGCCTAAGCCGCCTTGAGCGGGTCAGTATTTCAATTTGAGGGGATCGGGGATTGGGGATTCGCGTCTATGATGGGTCGGATTGGGGGGGCGGGCACCGCCTTGCCTCAGCCTGCAGATCTAATACTCTTTGCCCTCGCTGGCTCCCCGCCTTTTCAATTACTATCTGCGCCTCCAACTCCGCTCTTTGTAGCCGCCGATCATGACTTCAGTTTGATGCTTCCTTTCTATTGGGACTGCCTCAATGGCATTGTTCAGTGCGCGCTGGTCTTGCCAATCAAAGCATGTCTTCTCGCATGCGACGAACGAAGAGGGCCCACAGCGACGCCAAGAGCAGAAGATCCCGAGCGAACCAACGGCACTGTACAGAAAGCCGCCCATCGCATCAGAGTCACCTGGCTTTCTGACCCTTACCGACCTGCCACAGCTGGCCGACGGAGCTTGAACGTGCCACTGCCAGCTACCTCTGCCAATAAAAGCAGCCGTTGTGGAGATTCTGGCCAGGGCCACATTACGCACCAGAAGAAAAACAAAAACACCTCCAACGCCTGCCTACTTCAGGTTTTTGTATACACTTCTGCCGACCGACGTGTAGTTCCCGTGCCTCCAAGCATGCAGTGGGGACGCGCATCAAGAACCCAGCTGCTTCTCGTCAGGGTACCCTGGGTTTCTTCGCTCCGCGCGCTGCGCGGTGGCATCCCGCGGCCGTCAAAGAGGCCGCTGCGTTCAGGGTGCTCCGGGTCTCCCCTCTGGTGTGCCTCGCGCGCGGGTTTTCAGGGTTGGGTTTCTTGCGACGGTCTCTTGCGACCGCGCCCGCACTGTGTGTTGTTGGGCAGTGTGTGCACTTTTTCCGTACCCATCTCGGTCGTCCACATCCGGAGGCTTCCCGATGTGGACGACCGAGATGGGACCCTGCAAGCGGTGGTCTGACATGTGAGGCGCCCTCTTCTTCCCCCCCTCCCTCCCTCCTCCTCCCCCTCTTCCTCCTCCTCTCCTGTTTAGCAGGCAATTGCTTCAGTCTGTCATGCCATGTCATTTTCCGCTCGGTCCGCCCAGGCGCCGTTCTCCGGCGCCGCAAAGGGCCCGGCCCATGTGGCCGGTCAGCAGACCACTCTGTCTCGGTCGTCCACATCGGGAGGCTTCCCGGGGGCCTCCGTGGTGGTCGCCTCTGGATGGCCCCCGCGCGGCGGCCTCCGGCGCCCCCGGAGGCGGCCTCCGGGGACTGCGCGGGAGACCCTTGGGGGCGCTAGGCTCGTGATGTTCGAACCCACTTTCGCCTTGGTCACCAGAAAGAAATTCGAGCACCAGAAACAAGTACGGGAACTCGAGGGTTTTCGCGTGTCGGGCCCCGGAAGACACTGTTTCGACACTCTTTCGACATTTTTCCGGGTGCTCGAAATTATTTTTGGGATGAGGAGCGTAAGTACGATGGGAGCAACACTACGCTAGGCCCGAGGGGGGCTTTGAAATACCGTGAGGGCTGGTGGGATTCGATCATCCAGTTTTCGATCATCCAGCGCAGGAGGAGGAGGAGGAGGAGGAGGATCGAGGAGCTTCGAAGAGGGTCAAGCAGGATCGGGGGTTGATCTGCGGGGACATCGGTGGCGGCCAAGAGGGGAGCGTCAAAGAGGGGGGAGCGCAAATCAGGGCCGGCGGCATGTGCGCGGCCCATTGGGGGGCCAGGGACGTCTTGAATTAAGACGAGGCGCCATGAAACTTGGGGAGGTATCATGCCCCCCGCCATTCCCCAATCAGTGCTTGCACTGGAGGGGTCCTAGAGGAAGTTGAAAGATTTAGCGAAAATGTCCCGCCGATTTTGGTGGCCGGCTGGGTTCCGGGGTTCCCGGGTTCCTGGTTATTGGTTCGGTGTGTTCTGGGTTCCCGCGGGCTCCCGGGATCCCGGTCGATCTCCTCAGCGAAAACCATCCGTTGATTGAGTTTTTTCTTTGGTGTAATCCCTTTTTCGATCATCCAGCGCACGAGGAGGTCATCCTCATGCGCCCTTTCCCGATGGGAGATTCCATTGCTGTTGCGCATCGTTGTGCAATTCAGTACGTTTGGTTGTGCTTTGAACGACCTTTTGCTTTTCAGCGGCGGTCTGGTTGCCCTCCCCGCTTCCGCCACCCCCAAAGCGGAGCTGCACGAGGAGGAGGGTCGAGGAGCCTCGAAGAGGAGCTTCGAAGAGGGTCAGTCAGCTTCGAGGAGCTGCACGAGGAGGAGCATCGAGGAGCCCCGGAGAGGGTCGAGCGGGATCGGGGATCCAGGGGTCGAGGGCCGAGGCGAGGCGGCCGGCGGGCTCGGGGAGTGGCCCTTTTGCGCCTCGCCGCAGCCTGCCGCTCAGCCCAGCTGGTGCGGCACGAAGCCACCACCACCACCACCAGGGGAGGAGGAGGAGGAGGAGGAGAGAGGAGGAGGAGGAGGAGGAGGAGAGGAGGAGGAGGAGGAGCAGGAGGACCACCCCAGCCCAACCCGAAGGCTCAGATTTACCCTCGATTTCCAGTCGGGGGGGTGGGGGGGGAAACCTCGAAAAAGCACGTGTGGAACCCTTAACCCCCCCCCCCACCCGAAATGCGGGTCTTCGGGTTGTGTTGGGGTGGTCTGGCAGGTAGTCACGAAGCCCATAAGCTGAAACTCGTCCGGGCGCAGCAACGACGACCGAATTCGGGGCTCGAGAGACGGGGGTCAGTGCAAACGGGGGTCAGCCAGAGCGCCGGATCTTGCAGGATCCTGCAGGGCCGGGGGGCGCACTGACCCGGGTTCGGGTGCAGGATCCTGCGCAGGATCTTGCAGGATCCTTCGCATTGATCCGGGCTTGGGTGCAGGATTTTGCAGGATTCTGCAAGGCCTGACTGACCCGGGTCTGGATTGACCCCGGTCAGAAGATCCCCCACGAACACACGCACACACGCACACACCCATACCCATCGGGAGGTCGGAGAGAGGAGAATTGTCTATGGGTATGGGTGCGGGTTGTCGGACTCATGGGGAGACTCCCGTGCAAGTGGGGACCCACATCTGACAACACGCACCCATAGCCCCGTTGGCCCCCCTATGGGTATGGGTGCGTGTTGTTCGTTCGTCAAACAGAGAACCACAACCACCACTAAGTGTCGTCACGAACGAAATGGGTACGGGAAGAAAGGGGACGAAGATTGACAGCAGCTCCAGTCCGTTTTGAGCAGGATTTGCCGCCGGCGCCGCCGCGGGCCTAGCCCCTTCGAGACAGAACGACGCCTGCCCAAGAGCGACCGCTGCCGCTTTTGGACAGCATTTGTGGTCGGGCATCGTGCCCATTTTGCTGCGTGCCCAGTTCGGGCGTCCACAGCGAGATTTTTCGGGAGGGCCCCTCGGGTTATGATGTTCCAACCTACTTTAGCCTTGACCACCAGACAAAAATTCGAGCACCAGGAAAGTCCCGAAACGGGAGGGTTTTCACGTGTCGGGCCTTTGAGGCGATACTCGTTCGACACTGTTTCGATATTTTTTCGGGTGCTCGAAATTATTTCTGGGATGTGGTCCTGAAGTACGATTGGCGCGGGGAAGAACCCACCGACCTCGACATGAACCCTTCGCTCGTGGTTGTGGTCGTGGTCGATGTGGTCTCCTCCTGGGAGGCC